AGTCGTTCATTCTGAATCTGTGGAATGAATTTACAGTGAATTTTATGACCAGTCACTGCAAGTAACAGTGACGATGAGGGAGTAACAATTCCCTGTGTATATTGGCCCACGCTTGTGATCATTATCGTGCAACGTCGAGGTCGTCGTCGTTGTGATTACTGTGCAAGTCATTGTCATTGTCGTCGTGATTATTGTGTGAGTCATTATCGTCGTCGTCGTCACTGTGATTATTGTGCGAGTCATTGTCGTCGTCGTTATCAAACGTTCTGTCAATGCAGAGCAAATCATGGGAGGAATCATACGTCCATCCAAAACTATCCTCAGTGTCTGTCACATTCATGAAATGTAATTGGCTAGATTTCTCGGGACCATCATACGGTATGTTGCCCTCACAGAACGCATCGTCCTAACCCATTCATCTTGCCAATCTGATGTTTGAAATCATAAGTACAAGGATCACAACACGGGCATGTGCTCCCAATGCATCGATCAGCCCACAAACTCTTCCAGCCTATAATACCAACTCAGCAAAGACGAACTATGTCTACCTAAAACAATAGAAGCCATACACGAAAAAGGACCACAGGATGAAGTTGGCATACTTGGATTCGAGAGCTGAAACTTAAACTAAGCTGTAACACTAATGAATCATATTATCCATGCCCTTTCGTCCCCATTTAAGGATGGTACAAGGAAAGCAAAAGCCACCACTAGTTTGCGTATAGATATGCCGGATGAGACCTTAGATTGCGGATCGAAGAATCTTTCCGTACTGTCAAAGATTATCTAAAGTTGACCGGGGAATCGTTTCGATGCATCAGAAGCTGGCTGATGAAGGAGAGGGTTACCGAACGATCGTTTCGAGGAACTCAGCTTAGAGATGGAAGGAAGAATGCGACCCTCGCACGGCTCGCGGACGATTGATCCTTACGATCTTTTATGTGCCAACTCAGGATCTCATGGATGTATTCTTCCCGGGAGAGACAGCTGATAATTGAGATGCTCCACCATGGATCACGTTGCCCGCATGCCCAGGACTCCGTAGGAGCTCATATCAGTTTTGCCATCTCGATGGAGATTTAGCATAAGACTACATGTTTGATCGGCTCCCAACTGTTCATCCCGTCAGTACTCGCAAGGAGGACTGCAATAATGTAGATGGCTGTTGAATTCTGCCGATCGAATTGGTGTGCTGCTGCTGCTGCTGACTGCATGCTTGCTGGATCGGAGGGCCACTGCTGTTCGTGAATCTCTTCTTTTGATACCTGCCCTGCTGTTGCATACTGATTCGTCCCTTCTTGCTCACCAGAGCAGGACCTGCACTCTCTCTCTCTCTCTCTCTCTCTCTCTCTCTCTCTCTCTCT